CCCAGCATACAGGACAAGAGAAGAGGTCATGTGCAGAGTCCATACATACAGAATAAGATCATATACTGAGAATTACACCCAGGATACAGAATAGGGATGCACCAATACTGTTTTTTGGTATTGAGTACGAGTACAGATATTTATATTTCGGTACTGGCCGATACCGAGTACCAATACCAGTACTTTTGGTAGCATAGAGCCAGCTTCTGGGCAATCAGGGTGCCAGGCGGCGTGTCATTACCCACCGCCCGGCTTCGCCGACTCCATTCTGTTTGGCCGGCTCGATGCTGATTGGCCGGGAAGCCTGGCTTTTATTTTATTTTATGTCTATCAAATTCTTATTTCATTCTGTCCAAAAATGTGTTGATTGTCAGGCTGTAAAACATAGTCAGATGAAAATATAGATATAGTTATCTATAGAATCAGTTATATAGGGCCAGTTAGAGAGGCACTGAGGGAGCTGGATAATGATAAAACACTCTAACACCACTCAGACCCTTTCATTGGTTATATTAAAGCGGAACTCCAGGAATGATGTTTTATGGAAACTTACATTGTTTCAGCTTGGCTCAATGTAAGTATTCATATCTGATATCCAGAGGGCCGCTGGGGATGCTGAAAATCACTGTAGTATTCCCCACTACATACAGTGATAGCCGTGATCTTCTGGGTGTAGTTTCCCCTCTGTACACTGAACACAGGAAGTAACAAGCTTGGCACCAACACCATTCAGAGAACACATACAGGGTTATTCACAAAAGGGTGAAGAGTTTGAAGAACGCAGGAGAAGTGAACAATCTAGGACAACATAGGAGAACTGGAAAGTGAGCTGAATTGGAGAATTTTTCCAAATCAGCTATGTTGTCCTAGATTGTTCACTTCTCCGGCCTTCTCCAAACTCTTCACCCTTTCGTGAATAGACCCTCATGTTTTTTTTTCTGATGAATACAAGGTGTACAAGGTTTTCTGATTGGACCAGGTGAAGAGAAGGGTGGATGACATCATGATCTCCTATAAACCAATAAATTATTTTTTCTCAAAGATAACTGTATTTTGATAGTTAACGTTTAAATGACCCTCTTCCTACCCTGAAAATCTTATGTTCTTGCTCCTGCTAAATCGTCGCTGTATGGCCTTCTGTGCAAAGTGTCATGGCTGGTCAGGTGCCCGGAAAATCCCTATTTATTCAAAATAAATGGAGATTTTTCTGCACAAGAGTAAAAGAAGAAGTGTTTGGCTGGGAGCAATGATTTTAATAATGCTTAAACGTCAACATTAAATGCCCAGTTCCTTTAAATAACATACTTCAGGGATGCCTGAAACTGACTGTGAAATGGCGCATCTGGGGGATGTAGGCAAACTACTACAGCAAAACTGTCATTTACAAAGAAAAAAAATGCCTTTTAGATTGCCAGCAATGACAGCTCCTGGCTGCTTCCTCCTTTTTGTAAAAAAAGCGGCTGGGGATTCCTTTCATCTATAGCAGATCCTTACACATAATTTTTTTAATATAATATATAATTCAAGTTTTTATATAATTGCCTTTTTAAGTTGTTCCAATGTTTCCATCAACCTGCTGCAGCTGCATAATATCCTTTTATGCTTGGAACATGGTCTCCCTCTAGTGGCAGCTTCTTGGTACCGAATGAATGACCTAACTCTTGTTAAAGGAGAACTATGAGGTGAGTGCTTTTCACTCACCTCATAGTTCTAGCCGACCTGTGACAATGAGACTGTCACAGGTCGGCTCAGTAGATCGGGAAGTGAGGCAACACATACCGGCGTTCGCTCACTTCTCGATCCTGTCATGGCAGAGAGCTGTGACAGGGGAGGGACTGGATTCCCCCCTCCCAACTCCGACCCTCCAGCGCTGACTTGCGGAACGGACGGGGGAGGGGGCGGGTACAGCTGGCTCTCCCTCTAGATAGGCAGAGCCAGCTGTCACTCACGCAGCTGGGCGGATCCAGACATAATTGTCGGGATCCGTTTCAGCTGCGGCGTCTGAGGCCCCCGTTCACATTGAGCGATTTATCGCGCGGTAATTCCCGCGATATCGCGGCTATTTACCGCGCGATATCGCTCTTCAATGCATCTCAATGGGGCAAAGGGTCCTGCTGTCGCGGGTCGTATGTCGCTACAGCAGGACCCTTTGCCCCATTGTTTTATATTTTATTGGATATGGTCGTGATTACACGCTGACGTCATTTTCTATGCAACGATTGTGGAGAGATGGCGTTTGAATAAGATCGATTGGAGACCCATTAAAGCGATTCTAGACCTGTTCAGGTCTATTTATAAGGTGAGCGGCCCACTGAGAGGGGGAGCACCTGGGTGATAATTGGAGTTGACGTATGTACTTTGCACAAAGAACTTTCACAGTGGAAGGATAAAGAGTGTGGTGCACTTGGGACAAATCTTGAGCACTCTATACGTGTGATTCCACATTTGTGTATATTTGAATACGGAATATATGATTGAACTTTCCAGAGGACTATTATTTACAAGAAGATTGATTGTGAACACTTTTTTGATTGCATGTATTATTTAAGCACATATTTATTATAGAGATTTGTTTATGTGTTGTTCTAGATGAAGCGCAGCACATTCATTATAATCTGCATTACTTACTACTGACATCTGTACTATGCATTAACTACTACTGACCCCTGCACTCAGCTTTACTTACTACTGACCTCTGCAGATATGCATTACTTACTGGTGAACTCTGCACTCTGCATTACTTACTACTGAGCCCTGTACTCTGCATTACTTACTACTGTCCTCTGCACTCTGCATAACTTACTGCTGCCTTGAGAACTCTGCATTACATGCTACTGACCCCTGGAGGATTTTATATTTGTTTGAGTTGTACATAAGATCAAAGCAGATGCATATATCCCATCTGTCCCTCATTTTGAACCAAATCCCTCTGTCCCTCTTTCCTCCTTAGTTGTCCCTTTTTTGGTCTAATATACTGATATCTATAAAAATGTATTTAACTACCAAAAGTATTATTCTGATTCAAAACCTTCATCGTACCCTTTAATTATCTTGTTTGCTATCATGAAAAGCCAGGATAAAGGAAAAGTAATAAAGGAAAACATTCTGGGGTTAACCAATCATTTTTTGGACATCAATTCTGCGTGACGTAGTGTATTACCTAAATACATTGTGCTGGAAGGTGTCCCTCTTTCTCATCTCAGATAAACTTACCTCAAATGATGTTTCTTAATCCGATCTTCCTCTTTCCTGTCCTTTTCAGCCTTCTCTCCAGCGCTGCTACGGGTCTCCGATCCAGCGCTGACTCCTCTGTCCTTGCTCGCACTTCCGATCCCATGGTGTCTACATACGGGTGCGTCTCTCCTCGTCTCCCAGCCGAAAATCCGAACTGCGCATGCGCCCGCCCCAAGATGCTTTGTGGCCGCCCGAGCAGTTTCTTGCTTGCTATCAGTAGATATATGCAAAAAAAATGGAGGGTTTAGGAATCCTTTAAGAAAACCTTATAAGTTTAAGTAAAAGAGCTGCAATTGCTGACCTTCTCTTAAAAATGCTTGTTTCTCTCTGGTTGAGCAAATCTGCATATCAGTAAAGCCAGTGAAAAGTCCTTATCTACTGTACATACTTGTTGCAGGTCAGTGAATCAAAGAGCTAAAGCCATAAGGTTAACATAACATCCAAGCAACTAGCATTTTTAAAGGGAGGTCATCAATGTCAGCCTCCATGTATCAATGATGACATATTTTCTTTAATCTTTGATTGTATTATAAAAATGATCAGGTTTGAATAGATTGGGAAGTAAATGGAATGTATTTCAGGTTTTTATTTCTGCCTGTGATAAAGGACATTTCTCCTCACATCATTTCTTGGTGACACCATTATTCTATCCAACTGAAAAATTAAATAAATTGGAGATATGCTTTAGGCAGTGCAGGGAGCGGAAAACATGTGTGTGTAGTGCATACAGCCATAAGAACCAATGTCATCTAAGTGTACTAGTGTCCAATCAGTGAATGATTCATTCAGTTTAGTTGGTATTGGTCATATATTTATTTCTCTGATTGATACAAGCATTAACATATTCTGAGAAACTTCACAATGAAGACTGATTTCCGCAGACCACTCCCTCCTGCAACTTACAGGCCAATATTCCTGCCCACACATCACTAAGAAAGGAAACCTAAATTAACCTTATTAACGTAATAAAACCAGAGGTCTCTGCTGCCTACATTGAAAGCATTTGCCAAGGTGTCTTTGTCAACAACTGGTCCTACCCTGCTCAATCCCAGTGGCCACACTGCCACACTGTGACATTTATAGCAATAAATAAAAAGTTGGGTGTTACCCTACACATCCTTTAGCTGCTAATGTGAAGATTTGAGACCCCAGTTTACATTAAAAAGTTATATATGGGCTCCTTTGGTGCCTAGCAGGGTCAGTGAGTTCCTTTCCCAGACATACACAAATGCTAAAGCCAATTTTTAATGGAGGCCATTGACCTTACCATTGTTGCAGATTAAACTTTGTTTCTCTTTTAATGCCTTTGTGCCATATAACCCC